CAAAGACGTCGGGTAGAGGTCGGATGTCAAAATGTCAAAAGAACATACGTCTAAAGTCCTTTCTGCACTAGTGTGGTTCTACAAGGATAGATAGTTTCTTTTGTAGGTTAATTTTTATTATCATCATATATGTAATATTTTATTTTAATAGTTTTATACTAGAGATATTATAATTTTTATAATGTATTTTAAAATCATATATAAAATAATACATATATGCAATATGGTAATATTTGAGTAAGTGTTAAAATTTTCAAATTATTTAAGTAATTAAATTCCCAATTTCTCGAAAGAAGTTGTATTAAATACTTAATAAATCTACATAGTTAGTGCTCTTGTTAAAGTAAAATTATTAAGTTAAGTATGATAAAAATTATATGCAAGATTAATACTCTCAGCATTTCAACGTATTTATAGTTATTTTAAGAAATAAACGATTTTCAAAAAGAAATGATTGTTTTTACGATAAACTGATTTAAACACGCACTAATCGTTCGTCTATTTAAAAAGACTATAAAATAATAAAAAGAAATAACTTTTTTGTTTGGGCCCTGGTTACGTTCCTTTAAAAAAAATTAAATTAAGTAAAGTAAGTGATTCGTCTGTATATTGCAAAATCAACTCTTAAAACTCTTCAGGAAAATATAGCAAAGAATTTTATGATTTTGGAAGGTGAAAAAACCATGCAAGAGTTATTTTATATTAACGACGTAATAAGAAATGATGATTTAAAAATGAATTAAGTTGCGTCTTCAAATTGGATAACAATATATTTTGCAAAGAAAAAGGAAGAGTAGGTGATGAATGATGTTCCATGTGAACATGATTTTTGCATGGAAAGTTTTAGAAGAAAAAACGTGATTCAATTCACATTCAGTTCTTTTATCTCTCTAGTCAATACAAGACCCCAGGGTCCTCATTTTTTGTCCTTTATACCTTCTCTTTTCATCATTTAAGATATAAATTAATCACAGTCAACCAGTGTTTTAACCTACAGATAGTATAATTTATTCATTCGCCACTATTTATTAATCATAATTAATAACTAATTAATATGTAAATTTCAAATTACATATATATATATATGCTGATCTTGGAATGGAAGAACATCTCTTGAGTTATGATATCGGTGTTGGAGATGAAGAGATTATTAAACAATGAAACGTAAACGTGACAAATCTGAATCTTAAACTGATAAAACTATGGAAATGTCTGGTCCAATAATTGAATTTATGGTTGGTTGGTATGAAAAAATAAATGGTTGGAGAGAGATTGTTGAGAGCGTAGCAGCAGCATTCTAACAACAAGTCTTTATTATTTTCCAAAATCATCACATGATTCTTTTCTTCGTGTTAGAGTTGTTCACACTGTGGCAGTGCGTTCAGTCTTGCCCCGTGAACAAATGTAGCCATCATACCAGCTCAAGATGGCAACGCCAGAGTCTACCATCCTTTAACATGGTCAAATTTGGCTGAGATTCTGCCTTCCTATGTTTTTCAAACTCATGCTCCAATGTGAACACTAACATATTCTCTGCAACGTTACTTTGGTTTCAACTTCAACAACCTTATCCAAGAAGAAACGGCTGTTTCTGATTTCGACTTTGCGCTTAACTGCTGTCATCGCTGCTTCGTTTTTTCCTTCGACTCGGTTGTCCTTTTATGGACACAGCCAATATCAACCAATTCTGTTACTTTCTGCAAAATTATCAAGACTTTTTCTTTAACACAACAAAATATCTATCAAAATAGAGGTTCAGTTTTAAAAGGAAGCAAACCTTATAACGTAATTCCGTCTTAGGATGTGTGTTTGGAATTTCGTCACGTCAATGGTGAGATAAATTTATCATGTCTAGATAAACAAGTTCTGAAGTTATTGTTATTTGTTTTGAGACTGACGTAAACTATATATATATATATATACACACACTTGAAAGTTGTACATTGAGTACGTCAGTTTATAATACATATGATTATAAATTTTATCTTACAAATTTATTTTATAAAATTAACCTACACTTAAAATTTATTTTTTAACTCATAAATTATAACTATTGTTTGTTACCATACTATCCGTTTTAAAACGTTATCTAATCAATCTTTAATGTTTAATTTTATGTTCGAAATATATATTTTGATATGAAAAAATATATTAAAATTTGTATATCTATTAAAATTAAATTATTAATGTATATTAAATTATTACTCACGGGTTTTTGTGGGGTTGGGTTCGAAAAATGTAATTTTTTTATGCAGATTAGTTTTCAACCCGGTTCACTTACAATCCGGCTCATCCGGGTTGAAACTCGTGCTGAGTCGGGTTGGCTCATCAACCCAACTAATTTAATTTGATTATTTATTATTTTATGTTTCAATATTATTAATTAGTATTTTTTTATTATATTGTAGATGGAGATAAAAATAAGATGTTTTAAGAGAAAAATATTATAGATTTATCTACTCAAAACTCTAATATTTTATAAATGGATAAGTGATACAAAAATTATCAATATTAAAAATTTATTTGTTCGTTTTTTGTGCTTGTTTCAGGACTAAGCTTGGATTGTATGATATTTTTTTATTTTGAATTGTCTTTGGAGTTTCAAACATCGTTTTAGAGTAAAATTTATTTAGATTTGAATTAAAAAAATTATATTTTTTTATTTAAAAAAAACTTATAATTAAGTGAACCAGTGAGTCAATCCGTTTAACCCACCAACTCATGATAAATCGAGTCGGGTTTGAATTTTTTTCAGCTCGTTAATAAGTAAGTCGGGTTGAGTTAACTTACTAAAGCTTTTGTTCACTTGAATGAATTTGGAAGAGAGTGATTAAGTGGATTTGAGAGGATTTGAAGATTTTTTTTTTGTTTATTTGAGTGAATTTGGAGGTAAATGAGAGTGGATTTGGAAGTAAATTTTTTTAATTTATCATATCAATCAAATCCTACACTAATTCTCACAAATGTTGCTTCCAAATTCATTCTCGTTTACCTTTAAATTCACTCAAATAAACAACAACAAAATCTATCTTCAAATCCTATCAAATTCACTCAATCACTCTTCTCCAATCCATTCAAGTAAACAAGACGTAAGTGACTAACTTCTGTGGACTAAATCGAGTTACCCGTTTTGAGATCTCTAAGACATCAAAATAAAAACTTACATTTAATGTTTTTACATGGTGGAATGTTATGGTAATTATGAATAGAATTAAAATAAATATATTAACCACGGATTAATGACTGTTGAGTGAAATATAATTTGCAGTTTGAGAAGAAAAGTCGTTAATGTGCACAGAAGTCAAAGTGCAAAAAATGAGCTAATAAAGACGGTCACAGACAAGACATGAAGCAAGAAACAGTAACAGCACTACAAAAAGTAATTTACAACTATAAAGAAGATTTATTACGACGACTAAGGATGCTTTCATATCTCTTAAAAAAAGTTATAGATTTACAACGGGAAAAGATAAAAATAGTAATGACAACAGATACCATTTGAGAGTATATCCTTTATTAAAAATTATCTAATGAAGAATAATTTTATAATTATATTACTATTTAGAGTAAAAAAGTAACATTTGTTAACATTATAAATTGGATGAAACTTCTTTAAGAGGCATAAAATTCAATACGTAAATTTTTTTTAAGAGACGTAAAAGTATGGAGTTATATTATGGATAGTGATATTTATTCTTTTTATATTATGGAGTTAAAAAACCTTTTTATATTTATTTGATATTATCTTTTATTCTTTTTCTTTTTAAAATATAAAAGTTTCATTTCAGTCCTACAATTGTTTTTCTTTTAATTAAATATTTTTTTCCTTCTATTATTCCCTTGTCAAGTTCATGGAACATGCAACAAACTTCAGAAAAACCAAACCAATGAGAACAAGCAGCATTTCCTTAACTTCTAGTTTATTTTATAAACCACGATGTTGTGTCATGTCCAGACCAAGTCATACTTGTCTTGTATGGCTACATTTTGTACTACCTTTGAGATTATTGTATAATTTTTTCAAAAGTTATTCAGTTTTGTTTATATTTAAATGTGAGTATATTAAAATGAGAAAGTTAAATTATTCATATGAAAAAAAAACTTATAAATCATATCAATTAAGATTTTGAATTAAAAATGATATTATAATTCTTTATATGAATTAATTCATAATTTATTGATACCAAATCATTTCTCTGATTCTTTTTCAAAAAAACTGGATTCTATTCATTTTAGTTGATCTTTCAACTAAAATATTATTTACATAGGACTTTTTTAATATAGATGGAAAGAGCCCACGTTTTAGTTGTTGAGATTTTATAATATGAACATATATATTATAAATTTATTTATTGTTGATTGGTTTTAAAACTTAATTTGGTATGAGATTAGAGTTTGTGATCCGGGTTCATAAATTGTCTATTTTAATAGGTCAACTTCTTTTGATAAACATTCTATGAAAGAGTTGTTGGAAAGTCTATAATATCTCTCAATCATTGGGGTGCTACCTATATTTATGTTAAACACTATTTTCTAATGTTAAAATGGTTTTGAGAAAATTCTAATAGGGTAACTAAATTTTTTATACTTAATCTTTGAGGTTGTTTGATTGTGTTCCTAGAAATTTTCTTGAAGCTTAAATAAGAAACAAGAATGTTCCTCAGCTCGAATTAAAGCGTTAAGGACCATTTGGTTTGAAACCTGGAGCATTAGAAAATAAGTCGACTTTTAGAAGTTGAGAAACTCTGCATACGTATAGAAATGAATTAGAAGTTTTTCTTTAATCGGGATTTAGTGCAATTGAACCTATTTTCGTGTGTCTGATGCCTTTGTAAATTTAGTTAATTATTGTTATTCTTGTTTCTTCTTGCTTAATTATTGATAGAGAATGTCCACTAAGGTAATTTATTTCGCTTAAGCAAATTTTAAGCTAAAGAAACATTGTTTTGAATAAAAGATAAAAGTTCCATTGAAGCTTTTAGAAACTTGGAAAGAAGAAATTTGAACCAAATGATGCTTGTTTGTCTCTTTTTCACTGAGTCACTCATAGCAGACTTACCAGACACAAATAAGCAGGCATCACAACAAGCCAATATTAACAATAGCAATGCTTTTCAGCACTGTTCAAATAAAAGCCAGAAAAGTATAATTCTCAAGTCAAATTTCACAAATGAGAATCCGAAACTAGAGGAAACAACTACTTAACAAGAAGCATCTGATATCAGAATTGAAGTGTGGAGTTATCTAACTAGACAAGTAACGAGTCATCCATGTCTCAAAGCGAGACCATGCAAGCTGAACTGCAGCTTCATCTTCATCAGGCATTCCCATGCTCTTCCTCCTCTGGATTCCATCACTAGACCTGTTCATGAATGCATGTGCATTGCCAGGATAGATATGCACCTCATGTGGAACTCCAGATGCCTTCAGCTTTTCTTCCAAGGCCTTCGCAGCCTGAGACATCAACATCAATACACTTTAGTTCATTAAATTTGAACCTTTTCATTGTGCTCTCTCTCCTTCCTTTTCTGTTTCCCTAAATCTTGCACTTGTCTCTCTTAAAAGACACCCACTTGGGGAAATTGAAAAATATATCATATAAACTTCAAAATGTTCTCAATTTTACTCAGGGTATCTGGGTATGCTCGTTGGTATAAGTGGTTGATAATGGGGAGATAAAAAATAGAGTGGGGAGTTAACAAAAAAAAAGAGTTACGAAGATAAAATTTCTGTGTTTTGCCCAATGATTCTGTCACGAAGGTGAAAAACTCATGCACGATAATTACTGCGTATATCTTAGTAATGAAATTAAGATAGAATTGCAAGGAAATTATCATACTGTGATATCTGAAAAGCCAACAAAACTATCCAGCTCTCCAAAGTGAGCCTGAACAGGAGCCTTGGCTTGGGCAGGGTCTGCAAGCTGAGAAGAAGGAACTCCATAGAATGCTACAGCAGCGTCAACCTCTGAAACCAAGACAGAACCAGCAATAGAGAGAGCACCTCCCATACAAAATCCAGTTACACCAACCTGTTGCAATAAATGATGATCAAATAATTTTAATTATTAAAGCAAAATGTTTACTCCTAATATATATACAGTTCAACAAAAAAAAAAAAAAACTTCATTGAACAACATATAAACCAATGTTATTAGGCCTTCAATCGAAGTACACAATCAACCATATCAAACATTATAAAGACACTGGCTTGCCATCCATAATAATTATCTAAGCCCAACAAACGCTTCTAACAAAAACCCTATTGAGAGAGACCTATATTTATAGTAAAACACAAAAGCTCAGGGGATTATGTAAAGCAATTCTAACCTAATTGGGTCAATCTATAAATATGATCATACAAAATATTCCTCTAAATCGCAAATGAAAGAAAAAGGGATCCAATGGGGATTATGCATTGCTGCTTCTGGATTAAGAATTTCACATTCACTATTTTCACCAGTCACTGGATCAAAACTCAAAAGTATAAATCTAGTTTTACAATAGAACTCCAAACTAAAACTCAAAACCAGAAAACTTGGAGATATCATAAGTAAATTACAAGCTGCGACCAAAGCAACTTCCTTTTCATTCATTGAACCTGTTTACATATAAGACTTAAAGTATCCCATTTCAAACCTCACACTGAGGTTATTATGAGTAGATAAAAAGTAGAAGAACCTTGTGATGAAAGCACAATGAACTCTAAAAACACAGGTTAAAAAATAAAATATTTATCTTAACAAAGTACTCTAAATACAAACAATATCAAACCTTCTTCGAACCATTCGCTTTAAGCCAGTTAACAGAAGCAGCAATATCCTTGACAGCAGCTTGCCAATCAAGACCATCCATCAAATGTTGAGCCTCAGCTACATCCAGACCAACCTTTCCTCTGTACAGACTGGTTAAAAGAAAGTAAAACTCATTGGTCATCCAAATGTATATACCATGGGAAACAGTGCCGCCTATAAAAGGAGTTAGAAAAAACTAGGGGCCGTTTGTTTTGAGAAAATGCTCTGTTTTAATTTCTATTTTAAGCCTGTATAGGAAATAGGGAAAAAAAGAAAAAAAAAAAGTTGTTTTCATTGTGTTCTATACGAACTTGAAAGCAAGGTGACATTTTTTTTAATTAAAAGTGAAAACAAAAGATCTCTCAAATCAAACAAGCCTTATAAGTCCATTATCTTATCTTACTCTGGGATAAGAGCTTTAAACCCAGTACCAAGCTGAGAAATCTTCACAGCATGGTTCTTAATTTCGTAATCCACACCCCACCACTCCTGAATCACAACAATTCCAGGAGCATCTTCTCTTCCAACCACATATGCGTCAAATGTCTGAACATTGGAAACAAAATTTGCATAACAAATAAAAACTGTGAGTTCCAGCTTAGACAGCTAACACGGAATAGTTATAGTATGTCGGAGAAAAGGTAAAGGGAATAGAAAAAAATTAGGTCCAACACCATGACTGGGAACAGTATCTTGTTTAAACAATTCGAATCTAAAATTTAAAACTCAACTTCATGCTACATCAAACTTTTTGGGCATGGTAGGTCACTACTAGCATAGCATGAAATAATCAGATCTAACTACAATTTACTTGTCAAGCGCAGATTATTGGGCATGTATAGCATTGTCCACTAGGTTAAGTGCAGTGAAGGTAGCATTTCGTTACAAAAGATGATATTGAAGAAGACCCAAGATAAAATCTATGATGTAAATTTATCATCACAACACATGGATAAGAAAAGCTTGTCACTTTTATTTTTGGGTATGCAGTAAACAAAAAATATTCACTAAAGATGTTCATGGAATCCAATCAACAGGGAAATAAACAAGTTAACGATGAATTTAGCTTTAGAAATTCCAAACAAAAGGAAGATTATGTTTCATAAACGAATGGAAACCATAAAATGAGTGAATTTAGCAGTGCATGTAGTTCATAAAGAAAGAAAAACAAATGTAATGGGAATGAAAGAGATTAGACTCACAGTATCATCTCTTTGAATCTGAATTTTCTTGAAAGGGGATGAAGCAGTGGTAGCCATGGAATGATGGAACAGAAATGGAGCTCAATGAAAAGCAGATCGGAGAATTTTGCAGCATCACTGATCAAAGTGGCCTTATAAATGAGAGTACCCAACGACCTACAAACGATGTCGTTTCTTTTGATTTAATGTTCTAAGTTAAATTAAATTAAAATTTGATTAATAATAAGATTAACCAAATTTTGTATCCTTATAGAAGTTTCTATATTCAATATCTAACAGTGTCACAAACATAATAATGATTTCAACAGGGATGAAGAAGGGATAACTTCCTGAATATACAATTTATTTCTACTGTATCTAAAAATTTAATTTAGTCATTTATTTTAATCAATTCCATTTCAATAAAAATTCAAAATAATATATTAATATTAATATTATAATAGTGAAAATATGTACGTGAGTTTATTGTTTAATGATAACTAAAAATAATAAAATTACTATTATTGTTATTATAAAATTAAATATAAATATTTTTATAATTTTATCATAAATACTTTTTATTTATTTTTGTAAGTAGTTTTATATTTAGAAAATGGATAAATTTAAAAAAATTGTCAAAATTAAATAAATTCAAAAAATCACAACTAAAATTGATAAAATATTTTTTAACTTAAAAAATTATTAAGAAAATAAAATTAAAAATAAATGTGGAAAAAAAATTTACTTTTATATATAGATATAAATATAATTAAAGTGTAAAATAAATATAAATTTAAGATATATTTTTTTATATGTTTTTGAAAGTAAGTAAATTATTGTAAATAGAAATTATGATATTTTGACATCTAATAATTTTTAATATACATTTCACATCTGAGTATAAAAGAACTGTCCAATATAAAAATAGCATAACTTTCATAAATATAAAATCATATTAAACCAAATGTTATCATTAAATTATTTTTTATTTTTAATTGTTTATCAAAATTATAGCTTTTATAAAATTCTACAGAACACTATACCATATTGAATACCCTAAAAAATCTCAACTGACAATAATCTACTATTTCTCTTTTATTTATAAAGGGATGTCTTTTTTTCTTCTTAAATGTAAATAGATTGCAGTTACTTTTAATTAGGTTGAATGATATTAAAAGAAAATTGTAACTGCAGTTAATGTATGTTATATCATTATAATTACAATATGCCTTTTATTTTAGGAGGAAGATATTTTAAAGAAATTAAGAAATTAATTATTGTGTAATATCAATGAAATTTATTTTTTAAGCTTAACCCATCAAAATTAATCTGTATTAAAGGTTAACGTGCCGGAAGCAGGCCATGCTCTTCCGAAGATAGCGGCCATAATTGAAGGGAAAAATATTTTCTTTATGTTTGGACAGAGAATTATTTGAAAAATCAATTTATTTAATAATAACTGATTAAGCATCGAATCCAGAACATTGTATTTTGAAAGTTGCAACTTTAATATTTGAAAGATTAGTGTTGACTTTTTAACATGATTTGACATTGTAACAAAACTTGTGATGAGACTTTCTTATGTATATAATATATGTATCGGTAATTAAGACCTTTATAACCTTTCAAAATTCTATCATAAGTGGTATTTAAAGTTAAAATAATATTAAGAAGCAAAATTAGGTATTTCAAGTTTTGAAAAGATGCAAATTGAAAACTATTTTATAAGGATTAATGAAACATTCTTATTATCAGCTACATGTATAAACTGGTGTTTATTCGATAAAACATTTACCATCCTTAAAATTTTTCAAAATAAAATATATAAACTTACCATGCAAAAATATTCATATTCATCCCAAAATATAATCTTAAATTTGTATATAAAGTTATATTCTTTTATCATCAACTCCTTAACTAAATTTATGTAAACATATATTATATATTCATAAAGTGAGTCCAATCTTACTACATTTACATAACAAACACCAGTAAACAATAAAAATAAAATAATGATACTTATATATTTATATATATTTTCAAATTTAATCGTGTAAAATCTATTAATCTCAAACATTTATTAAGCATAAATAAATACATAAATTTATTTAACAAAAAGAAATATTTAAGAAGAATTGTATATATACTTTCCTAATTCTATATACATTTTGTATTTCTAACCTAAAAGATCTGATTTATTCAATAGTACCCTGAATTCATGTATTTTAATTGTGAAAAAATACATTAAATCAAGTAAATTGGATACTTATCATTAATTCTTCGATCCTAGATAAATCACTCAATCCCTAGAGTCCATATTATATGTACATCAACATGAGAATCCACTAATATCTTTTGTTTATCTTCTTAACTACACAATTTTCTTCCTCTGCACAAATGTTCATATTAATCAACTTGGTATTGATTCTATTTTAAGAAGTACTTTACACGTTCTTTGTTCTTAAACAATGATGTTAATTACAACACTAAACTTCTTCACTTGGGACTATTGACCATATAGCATATTCTCTTAACTTAGGTAGTGAATATAGACAAATTTTAGCTATCATTATTAACTTACCTAAAAGAGAACAATTGATTGCTAAATATTCTAGTACTATTAACATTTCAAAGTTTGTTGTTTTGATCTATATGTTATATTTAACTAAATTTAAATTCAATTTGATATATATTTCTAAATTAACTACTTTCATACATTATCAATTGTTGGTAATGACTAAGAAGTGTTTGATGTTGGACATCTCCGCCAAAAGAACGGGTGTTGCTCCCTTCACCACCACATCTTTCTTCCTCTACCTCTCCTTTACTATTTTGTCCTTCAATAAAATTTTATTTTTAGGGTTATTATTTTTTTAATTTTATCTATTCAGAACCTATTTCACTAATAACTTATTCTAGTCCTGTACATGAGTAAAATACTTTTCTTTCATTTTAACATTATATTTCTTCCTCTCTTTCTTTCGTTGTGAGATACTACAAGTTGCAAAGGTTAGTGGTGGTGGAAAGAATTATCAAGCAGTCTCCCTCTCGTGGTGCAGTATCGCTCTCGTCCATCTCTTGGTGCAGTATCGCTCTCGTGGTGTAGTGTGTGGAGTGGTGTAGTGCATGTCGTGCTTCCTCGTACTCGAATAAACGGAGGTGACATCCTTTAAACGGAGGTGACATCCTTCAACGGATGTCAACATTCGTTTAAGGAAAAACGGATGTCGACATCCGTTTTACCTTAAATGAATGTTGACATCCGTTGAAGATGTCACCTCCGTTTAAAGGTTACTTTTTTTATTTTAGAGTTTGTTTTATTAGGGTTGATGTATACTTCCTCACGCTGGTTGATGCTCTAGACGCTCCTCGATGTTCCTCCACACCATGGCGGCAACGCTCCTTCACACCACGGCGGCAATGGAAGCTTTCAAACCAAAAAAAAAAACTGGGAAGAAAAAGGAATGGAAGTGCGGGAGGTGGGGAGGTGAAACGAAAATGGGGAAAGGGGAAGAGAGTTCCGTGGATGAGTGCTAGGAAAGTAAAATTATGGTTTCAAATAATTTAAAATAGGGTAAAAGTAAAAATCTTTTTAACTAAAGGATATAATTGTATTTAAAATAATGTGGGGAGGTGGAGGAAGTATAAGGTGGTGGTGGAGGGAGCAACACCCCAAAAGAATATTTGTTACCGTTAGTGTTGAAGTTGATATGTACAAATTCAAGTCAATCTCTAGCATTCCCAATAATGACTATCTTGTCATGAATCTCTCCCATTATGTCAATTATTGTAATAAAGTTGTCATTTATATATGACACTAAATATTTGACATTAATATATTGAAAGAATGTTTGTCATGAAATAAAATTATCCCATTTTAAATTTTGTCAGAGATATTGTTTATAATGTTTGTCACAAGGTTAAACAAAAGAAATCGATTTTCTCCTTCTTAATCTCTTTCTCCTCTTATCTTAATATATGTTAATATTTAGGGTCTTTGCTTGAATATATCTATTCATGAACATAAATATTTTCTTACTGTTATTGATAATCATAATAGATTTGTTTGGATTTTTCCAATGTCTTTTAAATCTAAAACATAATATATTTTACAAGGATTTGTTAATTTTATTGAAAGAAAATTTGATACAAAATTAAAAAGAAAAAATTATTCAATCATATAATGACATTAATTTATCATGGATCATTTCTTTCAATCTATTAATATTATACATCAAACCACATATATTGAAATCCTTAACATAATGACATTGTTAAAAGAAAAAAATTGACATTTATTAATTGTGACTCAAACTTTCTTATTTTTTGTTTTATATTTTACATTATGTTGTTAACTTAATAAACCTTGTTCTTACACATTTTCTCAAAATATGTCCTTATGTCAAGAATTATATTCTAAATTATATGATGTTATTCTTCTTTGGATGTCTTTGTTACACTAGTACTCTTAGTACTAGCAAGAAGTAGATGGATCCTAAAGTTTTATCTTGTGCTCTTTTTACGGTTCAAGTCTCACAAGAAGGTTAACTTAGTTATTTTCAAATTTAAGAAACAAGTCACACTATTGCGAAATTCGTTGGTATTGTGCTCTTGCTAATGTCACTTATTAGATTCATTAGCTCACATATTTGCTTCACGACTTTTGTGTTCTCCTAAGCTCACCTTAGATTAAATATGTTATTTATATTATTGCAAGTCGTGTCTTTTGTGAGAGAACAAAAAATATTGAAATTTATTATCACTTGATCTGTGACAAGTTGCTTCTTAACTCAATTAAGTTTCTAAACATTAATTCAACACAACAACTTCTTAATAAAAGCCTTAATGTTTTTTATTTTTCTTGTCCTCAAGTGGACATGAATGATATTCATTCCCTGTCTTTAAGGGTGATAATAACCTTATCTTTATTTTCAGTTAAAATAAATCTTATTATAAATGAGATATTATTAATCTTATTTTTAATAAGTATCAATCTTATTTTTATTGTTAGTTAACATAAATATTATTATAAATTAGCTAGCCTTATTTTTAGTTAGTCTATGTTTATCTTTGTTGCTAATCTTATTATAAACAAGTTAGCATATTATAATTGATTCATACATATAATCTATAAAAAAAGATACTACTGTGTG